TCACCTGGCATGTTGAAGGTGAGATAGGATAGTTAATTACGGATTCCAAGAATCTACATATGCTCTACAATCTCAGGAAATCACTACATATGCCCTACAATCCTGATTCAAGGGGTCTGCAGTCTGGCTCACGATTTTGCATTTTAACAGTCTCTTTCCACCTCTTTCTGTGTTTGGTTTGACATATGGGTGAGATCCTCTGACCATTTTGGGAGACAGTCATTAAAATAATATTATGTCAGAAAGTTTTTCTTTGACTTCCAGTGCCTACCTACCTTTCTTACTTTACCTCTGATTTTTCTCCATCTTTCTACCCATCTTTAGCATTTTCAGGTCTGGTCAGAACAGAATATTATCTATACCACAATATTATGGCCACTCTGTTTCCCTTCTGGGCTAATTATTTCTCTCCACAATTTAGAAAATTCCTATCCATTTATCTCTGAAGATTCAAAGATATTATCATCCCATTAATGAAGCTTCCTCTCCCCCCTTCTCTAGAGGAATCCCATATACTTTGTACATATTTCTGTAAGGGTGATTATTATAATCTGTCACAGTTCCTGATTATGTGCCCATTTTCTATTTCTACTTTCATGTCCATCCATAGGAAAGTGAATATCATGTGTTATTTACTCACTAAATGTTTGTTGAATTATAAATATAACTGAACTTCTATTTCTAAAATTACCTCTGGGGCATTTTGGGAGAGGAAGGTAAGAGTTGCCATCTGTATTGTTGTTCTCTTGAGACAAATCTAATTGTATAGTATCTTTAACTTCCTTTAACAGTCTAGATTATTCCACAAAAATTCAGGGAAGTCCTACTTGAACTTTTTGGGGAAATTATTTCTAAGAGGGCCTTCTCTTTTTGTAAAACTGAATCTGATCCTACAACTTCATTATTTACATATAGAAAACTTTAGTTTTAGAAAGTGATTTCCTGTGATAATATATTCTAGAAATTAATCCCAATTTCATGATAGAAAATTAAGAAACATTTCACTGGATGATGTAAACCAAGTCCTTAGAATTTAGGATATGTGATAAAGCAGTTCTACTCATGGAATTCTTGGCTATTAGATCGGCCATAATAACCTGGAAGGAACTTGGATGGTAAGAAATACAGAACAATGCCCTCTAAGTGATACAAAGTATACAGTGAACATCATCTGAGTCTACAGCAACAGAGAGGCTTTCAAATTTAAATGTGCTCCTCTGTCAAAGTGGCCAAAAAAAATGAAGTGAAAGTCCTTCAGTTGTGTCCAACTCTTGCAAGCCCATGGACTATAGTCCATGGAATTCTCTAGGCCAGAATACTGGAATGGGAAGCCTTTCCCTTCTCCAAGGATCTTCCCAACCCAGGGATCGAACCCAGGTCTCCTGCATTCCAGACAGATTCTTTATCAGTTGAGCCACAAGGGAAATCCAAGAATACTGGAGTGGGTAGCCTATCCCTTCTCCAGCAGATCTTCCTGACCCAGGAAGGGAACGGGGGTCTCCTGCATTGCAGGCAGGTTCTTTACCAACTGAGCTATCAGGGAAGCCCAAAGTGAGTGAATCATGGCCAAATCAATCACCTCTTTCCAAATGTATTAAGGAAAGAGAGTTGCATAATCATTGGCTGTTTGAGAGCAGAGTCTGACACGATTCCTATTCAGTGCAAGAAACTTCCATCTGATTCAGACAACCATACTGGTTACATGAATTCTCATTAGCTTATGGGCATTTCTATGACTATGCAACCTGTCTAAACTTGTCAGTGATAGAGCCCTTGATTTTCCAAATGACAATCCATTTCCACCTTCAATGGAAAACCGGAACGTTCCAGAGCTAGAGTCCTTCTGTCCTCAATTCTTTCATTTTATTTACTTCTCTTCCATAGCTTTAGCTGTGAGTGATCACATGACCTCTTGTGTAACTGAGAAAATAGCAGCCTGATTATATTTTAACAATCATTCTAAGTCATTCACTTGAAGCCTCCCCTTCATATATTATAAAGTCAGCGTAAAATTAAGGGGAAAGGGGCTCAAAAGGTATGGGACTGGACTCGAAGCAAAGACTTTTTATCTTGATATATGACATTTCTCAACACAGGTTATTCTCTGAAAAATTTACAATTCTGTGGGCTTTTGATCTGAAATATTTACTTGCCCATAACGCAAATCTAAAATACTCTGTTCAAAGTTAGCTGAGGGCCTCAGCATCTCACAAAGCCTTCCCAGGAACAATCCAGTCCAACTCAGCCCACAGGGATATATCTTAGTTCTTTGACACTTATTGTCTTTACCTCTTGGATGTGACATGGTATGTGTCTAGACTTCCAAAAAGGTTTTACATTCCTCAAGAGTAGGAGCCAGGTCTTATATGCCACTTGTCCTTCATAACACACAGTTCAGGATTCATCAATTCCCGACTCACCAACTTTTCCCAACACCACAAGGGAATTCCTGCAATACTGCATAAGTAATTCTGAATTTCAGAGTCCTAGTGAGACCTAATTCCATCTATTACCTAGTGGGTAAGGATATTTTATTTCAAATAATCAAAATAACAAAATTAAGAAGTTAAAAAACAAGTTAGTCTTCCAAATGAACACATAGCTAATCATCAATTGCTTGATAATGTCCACTTAAAAGAATGGGAACCACTAATATTATTAAGTCTATATCAGATATAGGGTACATTTTGAGGCTAGGTTGGAATGAAATTTTTCTTCAGGCTTGAATAACTCTATGTCAACTACAAAAATTAGATCTCATCAACTATACAGTCTTTCCCCCACAAACCATTTCTTTAAAAACATATAAAAAATATAACTTTAGAACATTATTACTTTAGAATATATCCTTCTGTCATCTATCATCATTTTAGATGAGAAAACTGAGGCCCAAGTATGTGTGTGTGTTAGTCTCTAAGTCGTGTCCAACTCTTTGAGATCCCATGGACTGTATAGTAGCCTGCCAGACTCCTCTGTACTTGGAATTCTCCAGGCAAGAATACTGGAGTGGGGTGCCATTTCCTTCTCCAGGGGATCTTCCTGACCCAGGGATCAAACCTGGGTCTCCTGCATTGCAAGAGGCCTAGAATATCAAAGGCATTTACTTTGAGTTAGCTAATTAGTCACCAACAGAAATAGGAGTAGTGCACTAGTGTTCAGACATCAGATTAATGTAACTTCTGTTACATGTGACTCTTTTGTTTAGAGCACAATATATGTATGTATTTTAAATTATAATTCAAATACATACAAAATGAATATAAAAACACTGAACACCACTTTAAATGAAACATGCACATGAGAGTATACAAGTGCATGCACACTGCATTCCATGATAGCTTCTCTGAATTTACACAAGTGTACAACACAACCATTCTTAACTCACGAAGTGTAAAGATGATTGTATTCCAAGGGTTTGTAAAATATTAGCATTTCTTACCTGGCAGTTGTATGAGGGACTGATAAAAGACATGAAAAACTTGAGCTATTATATGATTAGACAGAAGAGGTTTTTTGGCACTAGAGGTTTATTCCTACCTGGGGTTTCAGGATCTAACGTTTTCAATGAAAAGAAGACCAGAGCCTTGAGATGGATCACCCAACACGGGAGGTTTCATCACCTGTTGCCCACATTGCAATATTAAGTGGACTACAGGTGATTATCACCTACATTTTACTACGGGCCAGTTACGACTCCGGTTCTACTTATTGTGCCTAAAATCTTCACCATTGTAGTTGCTGCTTTAGGTTAGAAAACTTAGCTGGGAAAACAGCTTCAGCAGTGACCATACCACTTTACCTCAGGTCATGAAAAGGACAGTATCTTGTGGTGGAGGACCCTTGTGGGGGAGGGCTGGAGGGTCTACACATAACAGAAGATTTGTGGATGAGAATGGACGTCTCCTTTTAAACTGCCCCTATTCTCCAATGCCAATATCCATACATAGCTAGTTAACTAGGGATTTGAAAAAAATTAATGATAAGCACTTAACTCCTTTCATAGTACCTATGATTCAAACTGGGATGTGTTTTATCTCACCCCGTGAAAAGTAACAGGGCTTCAGATTCTGATGGTCAAAACTTTTAAGAAAACATCCACCCTGATGCTTTGACACCTCTTAAAGATATAACCATCTCCATGAACTTCCTTTGCCTCTCATATATAAAAGTTGATGTCCTGATGGTTTCAATGGGTACCCAGGAAAGAACAAGGAAAATGGAGAAACATGCTCACTGCAGTTGATCTTTTCTTTCTAAATACTAAGGCATATAAAAGAATTGAACAGCAACAATGGAAATCTGAATATAACAAAGAACAACAGCTTTTACAGCTCTTTACCAAGTAATTCTATAAGACAGCATCAGTGTTATGATATACAACAAAAAGTTAGCATATTTGGTTGAAACACATTGAAATGGTTGCACCCTTAATCTTGCAAGAGTAGTGACTTTTTCTCTTATTAAATATTTTAGCTTTTTCATTGGAAAGTTTTCATTTGTTTACATCAGAACCAAGTTTTCGACAATTCTTTTGTATCAGTTTCTTCACAGCTTTACTCTACAATTTTAGAAGAGCAGACTGATTCTCTGGCCAAACATCAATAAAGGGTATTCTCTCATCCTGAAATCTTTCAAATAAAGAAGGATACACTCTTGTGACTAGCCTTACTTTAGAGAAAGCTTACTAAATGACTACAGAATGGGTTCATTCCACATATGCGATGACTTTCCATCCCAAAGGGAAGAAAGACTGAGAAATAAAGGAATGAAAATACCATTTTCAGCTTCTCAAGTTTAGATGATCCTTGGAGAGTACATCTGTGTTATGGAATTATTGACTTAAATAAAGAATAAATAAGTAGATCTTTTGCCCCAAGTTGGTTAATACAGTAAGTAAAGAAGGCTTGATTGGTCACATTAGACTTCAAAACGTCATCCCCCTGCTTTCAAAATTAATGCTTACAATGAGATAGTTTAGATTAGAAAGTGAAGTTACTCACCATAGAAGAATCACTGCTTCCACTCCCGATCGGAGCTCCCTCAGCACAGGTTGGGAGGTGGGTAGAAAGTTGACTAGCCCTGCCCCCATCTATGACATCACAATCTACCTCATAAAAGGTAGTGAAAGTGCTCTGAACTCCTGTCTGATTTCCGAGAGATACAGAAAAGAAAGAGTGAGAGAGAGAGCAAGAGAAAAAAAGAAAAAAAAAACAAAAAACAAAAAACGTACCCTATTGGGAAGGGATTAGGGAGGTGGAAGAGGGAGTGAGTAATTGGGAGAAAAAGGCCTGTGAGCGAATTAAGTACTGAAAGAGATATGGGTGGGCCTCCATGGTATTAAGCAGCCCGGTCCTTTGGATTCCTCACTGGTTCTTTTGAACAGATAAATGAACCATCTGGGAGAAGGAGGATGAGGGAACATCCCACATCGTCAGGCACTGTAGGGGAAAATTGTAGTGGGGTTCAAAGGGAATGAATCCCCTATTTAAAGCTTGAAGCTCACCAAGAAAGAAAGCAAGGGCTGAAACTCTTAATGCCTGGAACAGCAAGTGGGGATTGTCAGATGTCTTTGTTGGAAGTTCCATTGCCCTGCTGCGTGACCTTCAGAAAGCTCTGGGTCTCAGCACACTCAGCCAGTACATGGTGCTAAGCAGGTACTTACCTCTTCCATTGGGTTCACTGAGGAATTAATTCACTCATTGTTGCTAAAATGGCAATTCTTTTTTATTTCTCCTTTTTGCACTCAAGGGTGAGTTTTGTGATGGGCACCATTGAAAAGATAAGCCAATAACCAATGTCGAGTTCGACCCTTGGAATTTCTATCTCTTAAAATGTTATATCTGACATAAAATATTACTGACAATCTTGACAAAGTTTTTCTACATGCACTGAATATAACATACTCCTAAAAGGGAGAGTTAGTTCTCTCTTCAAACCTGAAGAGAAATCAAATGGCAATACTGCTACAATCACAAGATCCCCTATGCGGGTAGTTTCAGAGGTCAAGTTTAGATGACCCACTAATGCTCAGCGACCAAACATTTTTGTTACATGCCATTGTGCTATAGTCACAGAGTTATAGCTTTGTTTAAAGTCTGAATATATATATATATATGTATATATATATATATATATAGGAAAAATGGGAAAATAATGTGATCTAAGTGGTTTATTTTTTCTTTTCTAAAGTAGATTTAGAGCTTTGAAAATTGAACTACTCACAGTTGTCAAGTGAGTATTATGACAAAACAGAAGGAAGAGCAAGCAGATCCTGAAACTACTCACAGGGAAGCCAGATCTTTAATCTGCCCAGTGGAATATATGAAAAGAGAATCTATTTCCTCAAAGAATATTCTAGCAAAGTTTCAAAATAATAGCTTGCAATTCACATCATGAATGCTTAAAGGCCACAGACTATTTCTGTATACAGATAAACAAAACTCCTAATTTGGCTTTTTTTTTTTTTTCTGGTGTTTAAAGTCAATACAGTTCTATTTCCAATACTGTCATTCTTAGCTTACCAAATATCTAAGTGTTTAGATCACAGCTTTAAACTAAAATTGGTAGATTAGGGAGCATTTTGAAACAGAGAAGCTACTAAATTCAAACTGATTATGATTTTGGCAACATTACTCCCATCTTTTCCTTCAAAATAAATCTTAAAGGCATTTAAAGATTGTCTTTAGGGAACTAAAGACAAAAAGAAAAAATAACTGACACATGAGAAGAAAGAATGAAATTTTCCCTGTATTTTCATTTTTTAATATTTTTCTGAAGAAGCGATAATACTCTGTGTATGTTTTCCTTGCTGAATATTCTATCCTCATTTTCAATAAATCTAAGTCTAAATTCAAATTCACATTTAATAGCTTTTATTGTGTTAAATTTCACAATTAATGAATCTATAAAGCTATTTTCTTTCTATTTTTACGTACTGAATCATTGACTTGTTGGCTTATCTTTGCTTTCTTATGCTTTGTAACAGTCCAAATTGATTTTAGAAATTAGCCATCTCCTGATTTCCCCATTGCAGTCAAAGTGTTACTTTTTTACCAACTCTATAATCAAACAGCTTCAAAAGTGATAATTATATATCAGAAACTCATTTCTGTCATCTCACCTTTTGTACAATATATAAAGGTCACTATTTTAAGATTAATGATTCATCTGTCCATTCTTCCAATAAACACTTTAAAATTTTTACTACTCAACAAAGGAGGGACACTTTTGCCAATATTAAGATATTAGAATAAAATTGAAGTTAAACACTTTTAAAATATTAAACTAGAACAAACTAGACAGATTATAATTTATTTGTATTTCTAATTAATTATCCATCATTTATTTGTAAGTGGAACATGACTTCAGGAACCCAATGCAAAACTAGGCTGCATCAAATGGATGCAGAGTGGTGAACTGTGCTGACTTTTTCTGTGATTTAGTATGATTGATTGCAATAATGTATTTAGTTATGATATTAGTTAAAATAACAAAATTTTCTTTGACACAGAATTCAGTGCCTGGATCAGGAAATTTCTAGCTCTTCTTGATATCTAGCCTCCTGATACTGTTCATGAAAACTAAGTCTCACTGCAATTATGGATTTGATGCATACTTCCTATGACATTGCATAAATGGATGAGTTAGCCCTTCAAGACAAGACATGAAGTGTTTGCAAGATTTCAGTCAAGAGACTTCATTATTGAAGTCATGATTATAATTTTCTTTGGATCAGAGAAATGTAAGACTGGTTTCAATTGTTTATTTGCTTGTTAGAAAAAAAAATGTTTAAGTTAGTACAAAGGATGGAGAAAAGCCAGGTGGAATAATTTGTACACTCCAAAAGAATAATTGGCAGATGTATTTACCAAGTAATTTATCATGGAAGACATGATCAGGCAGCTGGCATGCAATGTGACCAAAATCTTAAATATCCCAGCAAGAGAGAATAAATTAACTTTGATAGCAAAATATTTGAATTGGAAGTCTCCAGATAAAGAAATGATGTTTGAGTTTGTCTTAAGACAGTATTTTACATACAGAACCTTGGACTTAAAAGAGTACATGTCCTTAGAAAATGATGCTGACTGGAACTTCTCCAGGATATTCTCTTTCAGTTGCAAAACAAAGTTGCAAAAGGAAACAGAAAAGAAAGGAAGACTATAGAGATTTAACAGAACATCTAGCCAGACTTCCAGTCAAGTTCATTATCAACAAGACATCTGTATAGATGAAGGTATTCAGAGAAAAGCAATGAAATAAGATATAGTACTGATGATGAAAGAAAAGTTTAAAGTCTAAATTAAGCTTGCCTTCAAGAAAATAGAATTAGGATGAAATATTTGAAATATATGTATTGCCCAGAAGGAAAATGACTGTTGAAAATACAGTAAGACAATGTATTTTGAAGCAGTAAAAGAAAAATCTGAACTAAAAATCCTCCATATTGCCCATCCAGAAGTCTTTCCTATTTGTAAGATACATGGGCCATAACATGACATATTTCTCCTCTAAAGGGCTGTGATCAAAGGCAGATTTTATAAATCATTTAAGCTGGGGAAAGCATTTGACATAGTCTGTTTGGACAGAATGTAGACAACAGTAAGTTAAACACAGTTTTATTTCCAGTAAACCAAGAAAACCAGTAAATACACAGAGGGAGCTCAACAGACGGCCTGATGTTCCAGCTGAAAATGCTAAACAGTAAGATGAGAAACTAAGTGAGGTAAAATGAAAACAAGAGACTATACAATCTAATAAAAACACAATGGACAGAAAAATTTACCCTTTCACAAAAATTATTTGCTATTAGAGATAAAGAACCTTGAATGCTCCCACCCAACCAATATTTAGCACTGTGCCTTTTATGTAGGAGTTGAAATGCAATAGGAACATCAAATTCAATGAATTAAAATATCCTTATAAGAATGAGCAAGAAATACAACCCTGAACTCTGATTTTTAGTTTGTCATTAGAAATTAGGAACAGCTTATGAAAGCACTGTTTTTTTCCTAGAAAAAACACTGCTCCTATCTCAGTTTTGATACGGGCATCTCTTTATTTCCTTTATTTTGAGTCATCTGAGGTCATGCAAAATCAATAATGAAATTCCCAGATAACACTAAGTATATGGTTTTAATATTAATTATCTCTTTTTAAATTTAATTATATACTTTATATCAACTTATTCATATTTTAACTTCTCTTAAGGCATGTCCAAGTAGAAACAACAATAAAAACACAATAGATTTGGGTAACCCATTCAAAATAACATATTTCTTGACTAGAGCTGACAAATTGGAGGGTATACAGGAAAACCAAAAATGAGGAACTGAATTATAGATACTGTATCTAAATGAAGATATTCAATCAACACTTCAGCTTCTCATAATTATTTGGTTCAACTGAAGGAAACAGGTAGATCTGGGTTGCTCTCATATATCTAACACTAGTTTAAAATGGGGGAGAAGGTGCTAGCTTCTAAGATACTACTACAGACAGTAACTCTTAAAACATACTGATAAACAAAGAACATCTTAGAAGGAACTCAGACAATTATTACATGTAGACAAGATCTCTGAACATATCTCACGGGAAAATTGTATAAACCAGGATATCTTTAGCTAGGTTTTCCTGTGTTTCACAGGTATCCAAAGATTTGTGCAATCATTGTCCCTCATTTAGGTGCCTTCTATGTATCTCATTTCCAACTTTTTGTAAAATATTACTATTTGATGCCAAAATAACCCTTAGAATATTAAAATCAAAGACATTAATTACTAACAGATAACTGCATGAAATATTTGTCTGCCTTATTTTAATTTGTGGCTTTGGAAATGAAAAAATTCTAAAACCCAAAGGAATGAAAGTCCATTGATTCAGTGACAGGTAATGGCACTGCTATTTCTGACTCAGAGACACTCCTTTGTTCATAAAGTCACTAACACTTTTTGCTCTTATAAGCAATAATGCCCTTAAACTAAAATGTAAACTGCTCATCTCAGGTTCAGGTGATATAATCAAGTGAATCCACTGAGTAGACTCTAGTTTGGTCAATCCATGTCTGCAGTTGAGGTCAAAGAGTCATTTGCTTGGTTCACATCCCAGCTTTGCCACAATAGAGTCTGTTTTCTTAGTTTAGGAT